GGGGGGGGGGGACGGCACAGGCAGCTCGCGATTCGCCGGCGGCTATTAAAAATAAAACCGCGGCCCGTCGCCATGACGACCACGACAACAGCGGCCGCGCGAGGGTGGCAAAACTTCTGCAGTCGCGCGACGACCGCGTCCGGGGACGCCTGGGGCACGACGCGCGTGGGAGCCGGGCGGCCGCTTTGGGGTAAGGCTGCGACCGACGCCCCCGCCGCGCCCCACCTCCACGGAACCTCGGAAGGAATGGAACCCTAGAAGCCCCGTTTCCGAGCACTGGAATTCGAGACGTAGGACTGGCTTGGCCCCGAGGTCACCGGCTTGGATTAGGACCCACGCCCGAGTCGGCTCCACCAGCCTCCCTCCCCCGGCCCCCGGCGTCCTCTCTTCAGCCCCTGGCCCTTCCTCTTCCAGCGGTGGGATGTCAGCGCCTGGAGAAGGCGGGTTGGGGTGGAGTCGAGGTGGTGGGTTTGGGGTGCGCTAGGGGTCATGCGTGCTGCTGCACCCCCCGGAGCGTACGCTGCGCGGCGAGGCCCTGCGGCGCGACTTAGCGCGCGGCGCCAGCCCAGCCCTCCTCGTGGGGTAATCCCCGGTAATCGGCGCGGTCACGTGCTTCTTCCTGCTGCTATTAGGCGGTTCTTACGGTTCACTGCGAACACCTGGTAATGAGGCTACACAGACGTCTGAGTAGGAGCAGGCGTGGGCCGGCCGGGATCCCGCGGCAGCCAGCGCGTGGGCGCGGCGTTCCAGGCCCCGATGGGGCATCCCCGCCCAAGCCGTAACACCCGGGCGCGGACGCGGGGTGGACCCTGGTTCCGAGCATATGGGGGGCAGTTCCTAGCAAGCCAGCAGCTGGGGCTCGGGGCGGGAAAGCGGACGCTGCAGGCAACCACGCAGATGGGCCGGGCGCGGGCGCGGAGGAGGCTGCACCTGACAGGCCTCGGATGTCCGGCCTCCCCCGAGCCCGGGCTTCCGGGTATCTCCAGAGTTCCTCGGACATCTCGGGCGCCCTCTGCGTGTCCCTACTTGTCGTGAGCCCATAATTAAGGTGAGTCAGGTGCTCGAAATAGGCCAAGTGGAAGCCGAGTGACTGGCCAGGTGTCTGTCCCTTTTTGGCACCCAGAGACGGCGTGGGAGAGCCGTGGCTGATCCTAAGAGCTAAGTAGGGGACAGGAAGGAAGAACCACCTCTATTAAGATGTCCTCACCTGCGCAGGGCTAACCGTTGCCAGCACTGCACCTTCAAACCCACCCCCGCCTCTGGTTCACTGCTGCCCTGCCAGAACCAGATAGGGACCTCGCACCAGTCAGGGTTCAGTAATTGTTGTCATCATTATTCACCGTACTTGTAATGCTGAGTAGATAATTTGGGAAGCTGGACTATATGAAGAAAAATGGGGCATCAGGATTGGAGGAAGACTCATTAACAACCTGTGATATGCAGATGACACAGCCTTGCTTGCTGAAAGGGAAGAGGGCTTGAACCCTTACTGATGAAGATCAAAGACTCCAGTTCTCGGTAAGGATTACACCTTGCCATAAAGAAAACTAAACTCCTCACATCTGGACAGAAACAATATCATGATAAATGGAGAAAGGACTGAAGTTACCGATTTTTACTTGGATCCACAATCAACACCCATGGAAACAGCAGTCAGGAAATCAGATGGCGTGTTGCGCTGGGCAGGTCTGCTGCCAAAGACCTCTTTAAAGTGATGAAGCGCAAACACGTCGATCTGAAGGTTAAGGTGCACTTGACCCAAACATGGTATAAAGCTTGACAATGAATAAGGAAGACTGGAGAAGAATTGATACCTTTGAATTAATGGTGTTGGTCGGGCTGTCAGAAAAACGAACAGATCTGTCTTGGAAGAAATGCAACCAGAATGCTCCTTAGAAAGTAGGATGGTAGGACTTTCTCTCTCATACTTTGTACATATCATCCAATGGGACCAGTCCTTGGAGAAGGACATCACGCTTGGTAAAGTGGAAGGTCTGAAAAAGAGGGAGACCCTCAATGAGATGCCCTGGCCCTGGTGGCCAGGATGGGCTCAGCGGGACTGTGAAGATCACAGGGCCAGGCACTGCTTGTTCTGTTATATACGATCACTGTGAGTCCAAACCAACTTGGCACCCAATGCAACAAGAAGAAGGAGTGGTAGTGACTAACATTTACCAAGCACCTCAGTTGTGCCAGGAGCCCAGGAGCCAAAAA